GCTCCAGGAGCTGGCTGTGACGTCCCTTTCACAGCCAGTCACCTCGTCAGAGGTGGAGCGGTACTGGTCCGCCCTTGCACGAGTGCAGAGGCGCGACCGGAACCGCATCGCGGCCAAGAAGATGACTGATGTCACCTTCGTGGCCTTCACGAGGAGGGCCCGCGATGCGTTTGATCGCAAAACGCAGGCGCGTGCGAAGTTGTACGCCGATCTCACCGACGGAACCCTCAAAGAGGGCATTGCCGTTCTCCCGCCCGCACCAGTGGAGGCGGTTGATGATGGGGCTGAGGAGGAGGAGGAGGGAGCCGAGGTGCAGGAGTGCACCATCGACTGGAGCGTCTTTGGGAGCATTGGTAAGAAGAAGAAGAAGCGCGCGGGAGAGAGCTCCAAGAGGAAGAAGAAGCAGAAGGGAAAGGGGCCATGCAAGCGGAAGGGGAGAGGAAAGAAGCATGTGGAGGAGGAGGAGGCGGAGGATGACGAGGAGGAGGACGACGACGAGGAGGAGGACGACGAGGAGGAGGAGGACGACGAGGAGGAGGAGGATGAGGAGGAGGAGGATGAGGAGGAGGAGGAGGAGGAGGCGGAGGAGGAGGAAGGATAGGAGGTGGAGTGCCGGAGGAGTAGAAGGAGTTGGAGGAGTAGGATTGGAGGAAGAGGAGGGAATAGAATAGGTGCAGATTTGCCTAACTAGTGTAGTGTAGTTTCTTGTAGGCTTCTCTGCCATCGTTGTAAGCTGCCTAGAATTTTCTGAAAAAAAAAACAAGAAAAAAAAAAGTCCAACAAAAAAACGGCCGTATTTTTGCCAAAACCACCGTAATTTACAACCGTAAATTACGGACCGTAATTTACGATTGCCGTATTTTTGAACCTTGTTGCTAACTCCCTCTCCAACTGCTGTTCCCTAGTGGATTTTTCTCCCCCCTTCTCCTTCTTGCTGTAGCACATTTCTTCCTTGTGTCCCTGTTTCCTATAGAAGGTGCAGATCGGCGCCTTAGGACAATTCCGCCTGCAATGCCCTTTCTCTTTGCAGATGTCGCATATGATGTCGATGGCGCAATCCTTTCGCAGATGCCCATGTTCCCCGCACTTGTGACACCGTCGCTTGTCTTCAAATGGTTTTTCTCTCCGTTCTTCTTCCATCCGCTTTCCTTCCACCGCAGCCCACGCCGGCCTCCTGCGTTCGCCTGATCTTCCTAAGCTCGCTCCGCGTAACCCATCGAAGAACCTTCTTCCCTCCTCTACCTCTTTCGCCACCTGATACACTTGTCGCAATTTCGCCTTCATCCCCAGCGCGTACAGTCGGCTCCGCATATCTTGCATCAGGTCTTCATCCAATCCACCCACAAACTTCGACACCAAGGTCCGTTCTTCCAAGCAGCCCATGTCTTCGGCCAGCTCCATCAGTCGATTATATTACGCTAGCAGAGATTCTCCTCTCGCTCTCTTAAAATCTTGGAACTCTGTCATCCGATCTGCTGAATGTCCCGGGAATTGTTCTCGCAGGCTTTCCAGGAATCGGTCGGTGATTTCCGCCGGCGTGAAGTCTCCCCGCTTACTCTGCAGCAACAACCCTTGTCTCTCCACCCGGTAATGCGTCAACGCTTCCCCCTTGAGCGTTCTCCCCAATCCTCTGAAGAATTCAATGGGATCGTGCCCCTCCCTCTCCCAGCAGTATCGGATGTCATCCACCATCATAAGATAATTCTTCAGCGTGGGCTCCTCTCCAGGCGCTCCTGAGAAGCGATCCGGCACTTCAATCTTAGGTGGATCTGCACTTATCGTTCTGCCCGTTCCCCAGCTCGCCGTTCCCCAGCTCGCCGTTCCCCTCTCGCCAATCCCCACATGCTGATCTCCTCTACCGGCCTCCCTGGATTCGCATCTTCCAGCAGAGAATCCGTGAAACGCCTCTCCTTCTCGCTGGCTCCGCTGATCTTCCTGATGGTCTCCCACTCTCGGTTCTGGGGTTCCACGCTGAGATCCTCCAACCCTGGCTGATTGGGATCCCATCCCTGGCGCTGGCGAATTGCAGTTAGAGCCCTGTGGAGGCTCTTCCCGTCGGTCGCCCTCCTTTCCTGGATCCGCGCTGCTATTACCACTAACGTTCGCTGTTCCTTCTTCTGCTCGGAACCCAGGCGTCTTAGTCGGCAGGGCTTGCCCCTCCATCCTCCGCGCAGGAAATCTGTGACCTGAACGCAGCTGATGAGTATGTAGTTCTTGATCCAGGCCGCTCATCCCTTACGGTGCATCACCGCAGGTCCTCCAGGCGTTTGTACCTGTTCTGCTGAAATTTCAGCAGTGCAACTTTTTGCTTGTATGAACAAGTCTAAACCCCCTCGCAAGGGCTCCGTCAGATTGCTCCTGCTTCCTACTGCTAGCTTCCTTTGGCTTAGGAAAACAAGATTGCAGTAAAAAGAGAAGCATACAAGCAAAAAGCGTGAGACCTGAGTGCTCCCTCCGACTACATTCCCTCCTCCTCCTGCCTAGGTTCCTCCTGCAGCACGCTAACTCTAGTGCCAGACGCGAGTCAGCTGCACTGCTCGTGATGGCTCCTAGGTGCTAGCTAGCTCCCACTGGGCCCACTAGGCATGCACTGCAATCCAGCTGGAATCGAGTTCCTAGCCTGGAATCGCATTCCCAGCTGGAATTGCATTCCCAACCTGGAATCGAATTCCCAGCTGGAATCGAATTCCCAGCTGGAATCGAATTCCTTCTTCTGTACCAACCTCCTCGAATTTCCCTGCATTCGGCTCTGTAAAGCGTATGTACAGTACATACCACGCACACAAAAGAAATTAGAGTACAAGTCCAGAAATGCACAATTACCGTACCTGGCTGCTGTGTAATTCACGCCTTAGCCTGCTGGCTAGGCGTTAATAACGCGACAACAGCAAGGAGCAGCGCACCGCACAGCAGCCCTGGGGCCTGGCGTCTCTCACCAGCCTATCTCTGCGTAATTGTTCACAATTCTCCTCTCTCCCTGATTCCTTCTCCGCGCTCTCTGCCCTCTCGTCCCTCACGCTCACCCACATGCGCAGCCTCTCCAACCTGCCAGAATCCCTCGGACGGCTGCAAAACCTCACCTTCTTGAAGCTCGAAGGCTTGAAAAAGTTATATGTGCTGCCCGAGTCACTCGGGCAGCTGAAAAACCTTGAAACGCTGGAGCTGCGCTATTTGCCGGAGCTGAACTCTCTGCCCGGGTCACTCCGTTGGTTGCCCAAGCTGAAAGAGCCGTTGCTGACCGACGTGGGGAGGGTGACAGAGTGGTGGTGGATTGACTACCTCCCGTCTGTTAGGTCTGCCAGGATGCGCCTCATGCTTCACTGAATTGAAGGCTCCCACCCACACATGCCCTATTTTTTCGTGGCACGGTTCTTGCATGCTCGATTATCGCTTCATGGTCTGACCACAGTGCTTCAGAGGTGTTGGATTGATTGACCACCATTTACGGGAACGACTGCCGGAACATGCCTGCTGATTGTATCCAAGTGTCGCATATATACCAAGTAACCATATCAATCGGCAAAATTTCCTGTATCATGGGCAGGGCCAGTAATAGGTATCATATTGGACCACAACAAGAGACCCTACAATGTACAAACTAAATACCGGTAAATGAACCACAGAGCACACACATTCTGAACCTGTTTGTACGATCCATACGTAGGGATGCAGCCACGATGAGGATTGAAGAATCCAGCCGGAATGACTACCACAGGGAGGGGCATTCGTCATGTTTTCTCCACTGACTGGGCAATTTCGATGTGAGCCATCTCAAATGTACAGAATGGAAGTATGGTCTTCGAGATGCTGTCGTGGAGCCTGCGATGCTGTGCAGTGCTAGGCTGTGCGGTGCTGTGAGGTCCAGCGAGGGTTGTTTGTTACAGTGGCATGTTGTCGTGCTTCTTCCACGGATTGGAAAGTTTCTGCCAGGCAATATAACACAGGCACCCACACACACACACCCTCACACACACACCCTCACACGTACACCCTCACACACACACACACACACATTCACATCCACCCCCCCTTCCCCCCCACAGGCACAAACAAACACACACAACCAAGACCACGCCCACATTCACACAATCATTCAACGCAACAAATGTATCCTTGCATACCGTGTTAACATTTCTACTCAACATGCATGAGGTGAGCCTGGTTGCAGGTGAAAAGGGAGGTGATGTTCAATCACCTGGTTGGCTAGTCGAGCATCCAAGATCGTATCATACATACCTACTATAAGCTATGCCTCTCCATACATCGCGACCGTCCAATCTTTGTGCCACCAGAAAGTTCAGAAACTTTCATGGTGATTTCCAGCTCAAAATCAGTAATCAACAACAGAATTATGGTGCGTGCCTGGTACGCATCTTGACCATCCACGCCCCAACCACCGCTCTCCCAGTACTACCTTCGCCCTGTTCCTTATTCCTCATCTTGCTCTCGTCTTCTCTCTCCCCCTCATCTTGGTTCGGGGCCATTTCTACAAGCAGCACTCTCCCCATCCACCGCATAAGACCGCACACCACCGCACACCAACATGCCACCGCACCAAACACGCAAATGTGCACACACACCCGAGCTCTGCCCACATACACAAACACCCCTCCCAACCCCTCCCAATTCCTCCTGATCCCTCACGTTATCCTTGCAAAGCTCCTTGCTTGTGTCCCTCGGCGGCATGATGACTGCATCCACATGCCCCAGCTGCGCTGCACTGTACGGTTGGCCACCTTGCAACCACCAACCCCTCTCAACCGCTCCCAACCCCCTCGTACCCACTCCCGACCCCTCTCACCCCCTCCCAACCTCTCCAAACCGCTCACCTTGTTTCTAAGTCGCGCCATCTCCTTGCAGAGCACCTTCCTTGTGTCTCTTGGCATGATGACTGCATCCACATACCCCAGCTGCGCCGCACTGTACAAATTCGCCAACTTCCACCCAACAACCCCTCCCAACCCCTTCCAACCCCTCGCAACTTCCCAAATAGCCCTCACCTTATTCCTCAAACGAGCCATCTCCTTGCAGAGCACCTTGCGTGTGTCTCTCGGCATGATAACAGCATCCACATATCCCAGCTGCGCCGCACTGTACGGGTTGGCGAACTTGCGAGTGTACTCCGCTGTCAGACTCTCCAAGTCCACGCTGCCCCTGTGCAGGATCTCCGCTGCGCCCTGGAAGGGGAGAGAGATGAAGGTTTGCAACAAAAAGGACAATCACCCTCCCTGCATGCGTGGGTACTCTGCTGTGAGGCTCTCCAGGTCCACGCTGCCCCTGTGGAGGATCAATGCTGCTCCCTGGAAAGGGGAGAGAGATGAAAGGTTGGCGGTAAAAGGGGGAGAAGGGCAATTACTCGGCTGTCAGACCCTCCAAGTCAACGCTGCCCCTGTGTAGGATCACTGCTGCGCCCTGGGGGGTGAGAGGCAGATGGGGGCACACATCAATTTACCTCCCTACTTTCGTGTGCCCTCCCCTGTCAGGCTCTCCAAGCCCACGTCTTGTGCCGGATCTCTGCCGCTCTCTGAGAGAGGGTACAGATGGAATGGGAGGGGGGAGCAGAAGTACGAAACAGTTGGGTGGTGGCCATTTGTCAAAGTGGAAAAAGGAAAGGAAAAAAAATCAATGGAAAATAGGTAGAATGCTTTACAAAACACACACATGAGCACACGCACGCACACATATAGCTCGCGCGCCCACGCATACATGTAAAGACTGATGGGCAGCGCACCTTGGCTCCCATCACTGCAATCTCTGCCGATGGCCATGCGTAGTTGGCGTCGCCCCTCAGGTGCTTGGAGCTCATCACTGCACGCAGAGGGTGGGGTGGGGTGGGGTGGGGTGAATTGGGGTGGGGTGGGGTGGGTGGGGTGGTTTGGGGTGGGGTGGCCAAGAGCATAAGAGATGTGAGAAGCAAGGCAAGGGGGCAATAAATGGCGTGGCCCCTCAGGTTCTTGGTGCTCGAGACTGCTCGGGGTGGGGTGGGGTGGGGTGGAGTGGGGTGGGGTGGGAGACCAAGAGCAAGGGAGATGGGAGAAGAAGGGCAAGGCTGCATAGGTGGCGTTGCCTGTCAGGAGCTTAGAGCTAATCATTGCAGGAAAGAGGGAGGCGGTTGAGAGGAGCAAGGAGAGAAAAGGTTGAGAGGAGCAAGGAGAGAAAAGGTTGAGAGGAGCAAGGAGAGAAAAGGTTGAGAGGAGCAAGGAGCGAAAAGTTTGAGAGGAGCAAGGAGAGAAAAGGTTGAGAGGAGCAAGGAGAGAAAAGGTTGAGAGGAGCAAGGAGCAGAGGCTAGGGAGCTCAAGCATAGATGCACCACACCCACGCACCACAAGCAGTCACACAACACCCTCAACACACCCACCTCTCTCACAGCCATAAACTACCACATGCAGAAGCCATATGCAGAAGCCACATGCAGAAGCCATATGCAGAAGCCACATGCAGAAGCCACATGCAGAAGCCACATGCAGAAGCCACATGCAGAAGCCACATGCAGAAGCCACAGCCTCACTTCAAAACCGTGGCCTCTGCATGGTTGTGTAAACAACACTCGCACCGTATAGCCCCATGCACACACACGCACACACACGCACATGCCCACGCCCACGCCCACACCCACACCCACACCCACACCCACACCCACACCCACACCCACACGCACACCCACACCCACACCCACACCCACACGCACACCCACACCCACACCCACATGCACACCCACACCCACATCCACACCCACACCCACACCCACACCCACACCCACACCCACACCCACACCCACACCCACACCCACACCCACACCCACACCCACACCCACACCCACACACTCGCCCACGCACACACTCATATGCTTCTTCCTGCTTGTCTCACCGTCGTACGCCCCCCCATACGCCTTGCGAGTGATGACAGTGAGCTTGGGCACCGTGGCCTCCGCATACGCGTACAGCAGCTTCGCCCCCTGCCTGATGATGCCGTTGTGCTCCTGCTCTGTGCCTGCACGGGCAGAAATGCACACATATGAACACACATAATACACATTTATGTATCACTGGGTGCCGCAGCTTCGCCCCCTGCCTGATGATGCCGTTGTGCTCCTGCTCTGTGCCTGCAGGGGCAGAAATGCACACATATGAACACACATAATACACATTTATGTATCACTGGGTGCCGCAGCTTCGCCCCCTGCCTGATGATGCCGTTGTGCTCCTGCTCTGTGCCTGCAGGGGCAGAAATGCACACATATGAACACACATAATACACATTTATGTATCAGTGGGTGCCGCAGCTTCGCCCCCTGCCTGATGATGCCGTTGTGCTCCTGCTCCGTGCCTGCACGGGCAGAGACACACGCACACGGACAGACATGGACACACATAGACACAGAGAATGCACATTTATGTATCACTGACTGCAGCAGCTTCGCCCCCCCCCTGCCTGATGATGCCACCATTCTCCTGCTCTGTGCCTCCACCGGCAGAGGGAGACGTGTGGACACACAAAGACACACAGACGATCGTGATTGCTCAGAACACACACATGCATCACTGCATTGGCGTACAGCAGCTTCGCCCCCTGCCTGATGCTGCTATGCTCCTGCCCCGTGCCGGCCCACAAAAGCACACACGGCACACAGCACAGCACAAAGCACACGTGTTGTCGTGCATATACACCAGCAGTGTTTTGAGTCGACTCGAAACACATGTGGACTTGCACAGCAGCACGTGCATCCATGCATGCATGAACCACAAGCACAAGCAGCTTCGCATCGACTCATGCGGGCCGTTGTTGATAGAAACACGCAACGCAGACAGCACGGATGCGAGCAGAGAATATCGCAAGTTGCAATGGGTACCTAGACTCGCCTTGACCCGACTCGGATGGATGATGCATGGAACCATGGAATGGATAGAAGCACGGTACCTGGGAGGAAGCCTGGGACGTCGACGAAGGTGAGGATGGGGATGTTGAACGCATCGCAGAAACGCACAAAGCGAGCTCCCTGCACTCGTGTGGTGTGAATGCAGACCATGCCACCGCGCGCCATGCCATGCGGTTACATTCCATGCAATGTTGTAGAACACCATACCAGTGCAATTGGTCACATGCCATGACATTGCGTGCAGGGCAGGCAGAGGTATCGAATTGAAGCACGTGTGTGTTGTCAACAAGATATAGTATTAATGCAGACATACCTTTGCTGCTTCACTGTAACGTTTCAGCTTGAGACAACTCGTTTAACCTTGTTCACCGCAATTTATGACAATCCTTGTTGGGGTCCAGAGAGGCACCCACCCAGTCTGCTCATTGGTTTGGCTGATTCAACACTTTGAATTCACATGTAATGCTGGACCACCATGGCTTCAGCCTCCAGCACACGCGTAGTGCTTCAGTTCACTAGCGTACCATGCAACCCCACAATTTACCCTGATCGAGGCGTTGATATTCATTCAACATGTAACACTGTTACACACTGTAACACACATCGTAACGGTGCAACCTTTTTGCCCCACACTTCACCTTAATGGAGGCGTTGATATCGAGGCAGCCCGCCTGCTCCTTGGGCTGATTCGCCACCACTCCCACCGTGCCCCCGTCCAGCCTCTGATGGCGCCCAGATGGGGGGAAGATGGGGTGAAGATGAGGAGTATATGGGGGAAGCATGGGGGGAGCATGGTGTAAAGAAAGATGGGGAGAACATGTGGAAAGACCGACCAAGAAGGAAGAGAAGAGAACAGGGATGAGTCACCGCAGTCGATGTTGACGATCAATTGCTGTCAGATTGTAACACGCGGCTGCGTTGTGTTGTGTTCCATCCGAATAAATGCATCAGCTGCAGTTGACCACGAGAATCGACCAGCATTGACTAGGGTTGACCAGCATTGACTAGGGTTGACCAGCATTGACTCACCGCGAATCCAATGAGGATGTTTCGTGCAAAGCCTCCCTGCACCTCAAACAGCTCCCCATCGTCCACCACCTGATGATGCCGAGCACGGGCGAGCGAGAAGAAATGAAGAGAAGGGGGAGGGGGGTGGGGGTGGAAAGCACGGTGTGCGTGGTGGAGTGGAGTGTGCATCCGCGCAAAGGGAGTTCTCTATGGTAAGGGAGTTGACGAGACGTTACACATGGGCAAACTGACGAGTCGAGTTTTGCTCGACTTGTTTACGGTACAACTCGTTCACGTTTTGCACCGAGTCGAGCAAAGCTCGGGCGAGCATTTTTAGGACTTTGCATACTCGTTACTTGTCTTTTTGGGCGAGTTTTTTAAAGCTCGGACGAGCATATTTTAGGACTTTGCATACTCGTTACTTGTCTTTTTGGGCGAGTTTTTTAAAGCTTGGACGAGCATTTTTAAGGACTTTGCATACTCGTTACTTGTCTTTTTGGGCGAGTTTTTTAAAGCTTGGACGAGCATTTTTTAGGACTTTGCATACTCGTTACTTGTCTTTTTGGGCAAGTTTTTAAAGGCTCGGACGAGCATTTCTGAAAGCTCGTCCGAGTTCGAGTAATGCTCGGCCCGTTGCGTTGTAACTGCAAAATCAGCCCCGCATAATTTTTCTACAAGACATGTCTAGGTTGCACTCGTCGCCATGATGCTTTGTTTGTATCTTAGTGACTCGTTTTAGTTTGATCAAATTAGAAACGTTCCTAAGACGGAGGTAAAACATGCTAAGAAATCAGCTAGGTACTAAGTTGCATAGTCTACGGAACTAGAAACTAGGTTAGAAATTAAGCGCGGTAGGTAGCTAAGTCTGTTAAGATGTGGGGAATTGGGGTGGATTGAGAGGAGGAGACTTGATTCGCGACAAATTGTTTCGCGATAACAGTTCGCAAACACTTTGACTCGATCCCAGGTGATTCGCCGGCAAGACTCGACAATTTTCACCCGCTCCGCAATTTTGCGAGCGGTGGAAATTGCGGTGGTTGGGTTGGGTACAAAAGCGTTTCTCAGATTTGTACCCAACCATTCCCACAATTTCTCTATTAGCGTACGGACGAGACTCCCACATGCTCGACGAGCACGAAAAAACTCATCGAGCACAAAAAACTCCCCCCAGTAGCCAAAAATGCTCGTCAGTAGGCCGAGTATTTGACGAGCACAAAAAACTCGTCGACTAATACTCGGCTCGACTCGGTCGAGTATTTCCCCCCCAAAAGAGAACTCGTTATTCGGCCCCCAACGAGTAACCCGGACAAGGAGGAGAGAGTGCGGAGGAGGAGGCGTATGATGTGGTGGAAGAGGCGTGGGGGAATGAAACGGGGTGCGAGAGAGGAGAAGGGGGTAATCAACCATGCCGCGTGATTGTGACTCCGGCACTCAGGCAGACTCGGTTGAAAAAAGGACAGAGAGAAGGGATGAGGGACAGGGCTGACAGAGGAGGGCTTTGGTCTTCCTTGTGAAGTGACTCCTCAAGTTTTGACGACACCTTTGACAAGTGGGCAGAGAGGAAGGGCGAGGGGTAGATTGCGCAGGGAGAAGGGAACTGATTTGTCGGGTGGAAATCAATTCTCTTCTCCCTGCGCACTCCACCCCTCGCCCCTCCTCTCAATCCACTTGTCAGAATCTCAGGAGTCACTTCATAAGGATGTACAAACCCCTCCTCTGTCTGCCTCTGTCCCTCATCCTTCCTCTCTATCCGTTTTTCAACCGGGTCTTCATGAGTGTTGGAGCCACAATCACGCCACATGGTTGATTACCCCCTTCTCCTCACTCGCACCCCGCTTCATCCCCCCATGCCTTTTCCACCACATCACACGCCTTTTCCTCCTCACAGGCACCCCATCTCACCTGCTCAATAATTTCCACCATGTCGCATGCAGTGTTGGCGTCCTCTTGCCATCCGACCATGCCATACGCATCCCATGTGTCGTATGGCGATACTCTCAAGAGTCCCCACCTACTCGATGATCTCAACCATGTCGTATGCCAACAAAAACCAGTCAGCAAGTGTGGATGCAACAACCTCACCCCAACCCACCCCACCCCTCCCCACCCATCCCACCCATCCCACCCCACCGCATCCCACCCCACCTGCTCGATGATCTCCACCATGTCGTATGCCGTGTTGGGGTCCCGCGGCACAGCAAAGTCCAGCGAGGGTGACACGCGGTTGCTGTCGTGTGTTGGTGGGTGAGAGAGGGGACAAGGGCGGTTGCGGAGGGAGGGGGAGTGGGAGGGGGAGTGGGAGGGGGAGTGGGAGGGGGAGTGGGAGGGGGAGTGGGAGGGGGAGTGGGAGGGGGAGTGGGAGGGGGAGTGGGAGGGGGAGTGGGAGGGGGAGTGGGAGGGGGAGTGGGAGGGGGAGTGGGAGGGGGAGTGGGAGGGGGAGTGGGAGGGGGAGTGGGAGAGGGAGTGGGAGGGGGAGTGGGAGGGGGAGTGGGAGAGGGAGTGGGAGGGGGAGGAGAGCCGGGATGGGGAGAGGGAGGGGGAGCGGGATGGGGAGGGGGAGGGGGAGCGGAATGGGGAGGGGGAGGGGGAGCGGGATGGGAAAGGGGAGAAGTATGTTGGGGTCCAAGACATGGTTGCTATGGTGCGAGGGATGCAAGATAGCGGGGGAGGGGGTGGGAGAAGGAGAGAGGACCAAAAGAGGGGATTCCAGGTGTTGGGCTCGCACAGAACAGCGAGATCTAGAAGGGGGGAGCTGCGAGCGATTGCTGAAACGTAGCAAGGAGATGCGAGGTTGGAGGGGAGGAGAGAGGAAACGGAGGGAACAGAGAAGGGGAATGGAGAGGAGAGGGAAAGGGGAATTCTGGAGAGGAAATATGCGTTTCGGACACGCGGCACAGCGAGTTCCAGAGACATGAATCACGGTTGCTGTGGTGTGGGGGGGGTGGGAAAGGGAGAGGGAGGTGAGGAGAACGGGAGAGGGAGGGAGAGGAAGAGAAGGTAGGGAGGAGAAGAGAGGGGAGGCGAAAGGGAGAGGTAGGGAGGGGAATGAGGGGCGTTGATTGAACAGGGTGCTTGCTTCTGTCGGGGTTACGAGGCACAGAAAAAGTCAGAGAACGAACACAAGTTCGCTGGAGTACTAAGGCGAGACGGAGGGGATAGGTGGGGGGAGAGAGGGGAGGGGAGGAGGGAGGGAGTGGACATGGACCGAGTTGAACATGGAGGGAGGGAGTGGACATGGACCGAGTTGAACATGGAGGGAGGGAGTGGACATGGACCGAGTTGAACATGGAGGGAGGGAGTGGACATGGACCGAGTTGAACATGGAGGGAGGGAGTGGACATGGACCGAGTTGAACATGGAGGGAGGGAGTGGACATGGACCGAGTTGAACATGGAGGGAGGGAGTGGACATGGACCGAGTTGAACATGGAGGGAGGGAGTGGACATGGACCGAGTTGAACATGGAGGGAGGGAGTGGACATGGACCGAGTTGAACATGGAGGGAGGGAGTGGACATGGACCGAGTTGAACATGGAGGGAGGGAGTGGACATGGACCGAGTTGAACATGGAGGGAGGGAGTGGACATGGACCGAGTTGAACATGGAGGGAGGGAGTGGACATGGACCGAGTTGAACATGGAGGGAGGGAGTGGACATGGACCGAGTTGAACATGGAGGGAGGGAGTGGACATGGACCGAGTTGAACATGGAGGGAGGGAGTGGACATGGACCGAGTTGAACATGGAGGGAGGGAGTGGACATGGACCGAGTTGAACATGGAGGGAGGGAGTGGACATGGACCGAGTTGAACATGGAGGGAGGGAGTGGACATGGACCGAGTTGAACATGGAGGGAGGGAGTGGACATGGACCGAGTTGAACATGGAGGGAGGGAGTGGACATGGACCGAGTTGAACATGGAGGGAGGGAGTGGACATGGACCGAGTTGAACATGGAGGGAGGGAGTGGACATGGACCGAGTTGAACATGGAGGGAGGGAGTGGACATGGACCGAGTTGAACATGGAGGGAGGGAGTGGACATGGACCGAGTTGAACATGGAGGGAGGGAGTGGACATGGACCGAGTTGAACATGGAGGGAGGGAGTGGACATGGACCGAGTTGAACATGGAGGGAGGGAGTGGACATGGACCGAGTTGAACATGGAGGGAGGGAGTGGACATGGACCGAGTTGAACATGGAGGGAGGGAGTGGACATGGACCGAGTTGAACATGGAGGGAGGGAGTGGACATGGACCGAGTTGAACATGGAGGGAGGGAGTGGACATGGACCGAGTTGAACATGGAGGGAGGGAGTGGACATGGACCGAGTTGAACATGGAGGGAGGGAGTGGACATGGACCGAGTTGAACATGGAGGGAGGGAGTGGACATGGACCGAGTTGAACATGGAGGGAGGGAGTGGACATGGACCGAGTTGAACATGGAGGGAGGGAGTGGACATGGACCGAGTTGAACATGGAGGGAGGGAGTGGACATGGACCGAGTTGAACATGGAGGGAGGGAGTGGACATGGACCGAGTTGAACATGGAGGGAGGGAGTGGACATGGACCGAGTTGAACATGGAGGGAGGGAGTGGACATGGACCGAGGATGCGGAGTGGAAGAGGGAGGGGAAGGGGAAGGCGGAGGTGGAGTTGAAGGGGAAGGGGAAGGGGAAGAGGGAAGGGAGGAGGAAGGGCGCGGGGGAGGGGAAGGAGGGGGAACACATTGTTAGGGTCACAAGGCACAGCAGCAAAGCCATGAGCAGAGGAGTTGCCATTGCTGAGAGCGGATGCAGCACAGGTTGGTGAAAAGAGGGAGAGAAAGGGCTTGGGGCGTGGGGGTGCACGAATGGAGGGAGAAACATGCAAGCAGGGGGTGAGAGCCATGGAGACGGATGAAGAGTATAAAAGTGGAACATTGATGCTCCACAAAAGGCACTACCAAAGGCTCAACTGAAATGAGATGCATCTCCAAGTGACTCACGGGGAGTCGAAGTTGGGGCGCAGAGGTGGCGCATGCTGATTGGAGAGCGGCAGGAAGTCAAAGAGGTCCCGGATCCTGGCGGTAGAGAGAAGGGAGAGCGAGAGAGGAGAGGAGAGGAGAGGAGAGGAGAGGAGAGGAGAGGAGAGGAGAGGAGAGGAGAGGGTGGGAGGGCAGGGCAGGGCAGCATGAGTGGTGGAGCATGAGTGGTGGAGCATCAATGCACTTGTGTGCACTATCAGAGCATCTGCGTAACCCACACCACACCACACCACACCACACCACACCTCACCTTGCAAGGGCGTCCACCTAATTGCCACACACGAGGTGCACCATCACTCCTGCCTTGGACTGCACAACCGCCCGCTGACTCTCCTAGCTCGTCCTGATGGAGAGGCATCGAGGACGCATGACCATAACCACACCAAACCACACCTCATCGCACCGCACCGCACCGCACCGCATCTCACCTTGCAAGAGCATCGAGTTCGTTGTCATACGCCAGGTGCACCACTCCTGACTTGGACTGCACGTCCGCCCCTCCCAGCTCATCCTGAAGGAGAAGGGAGAGTTTGAGGATGCACGCACGCCCACACATCACAAGGCCAGTGCGTTTTTAGACTTCTAAAAAACGCCCAAAAAACGCCCCACTGAAGTTTCCCTGGCTCGGTGTGTGGGAAAGAGGGAGTGAGTGAGAATGCACAACCACAACGCGAGTGAGTGAATGTGCCATGTACGTGGGGGTGTTTGTGCAGGTGCCGGGGTGTGCAGGTGCCGGGGTGTGCAGGTGCCGGGGTGTGCAGGTGTCGGGGTGTGCAGGTGTCGGGGTGTGCAGGTGTCGGGGTGTGCAGGTGCCGGGGTGTGCAGGTGCCGGGGTGTGCAGGTGTCGGGGTGTGCAGGTGTCGGGGTGTGCAGGTGTCGGGGTGTGCAGGTGCCGAGGTGTGCAGGTGTCGGGGTGTGCAGGTGTCGGGGTGTGCAGGTGTCGGGGTGTGCAGGTGTCGGGGTGTGCAGGTGTCGGGGTGTGCAGGTGTCAAGGGGTGTGGGTGTCCAGGCGTGGGTGTGTGAACGAAACAAGCCAATTCGAGGCAAGCAGTGAAGGGCAGCATGAAAGAATTTTCGTTGGCGAACAAACAAGGTAGCGTGAGGGAGTGGGGAAGAGCAGGCCTCACACGCGCGTGACACCCAAGTGACACACACACCCGAGCAACACACACACCCGAGAGACACACATATATGAGAGACACACATAGTGACACACATAGTGACACACATAGTGACACACGCATACCCGAGTGACATCCTCAAACGTGACTTGCTTCACCACGTCAGGCCCCGTGACAAACATGTACGCCGTGCCTCGAGTCTGAGGGGAGTAGGGGGGAGAAAAGAGCACAAGGCAGGTCAACGGCATGTGACAACAAGGGCATGAGAAGCGGGCAGGACAACGCATGCTTCATCATGTCATGCCCCGTGACAAACATGTACGCCGTGCCTCGAGTCTGAGGAGAGGAGATGGGAATGCAGGATGTGGGAATGCGGGAGGGGGCAAAGCGGGAGGTGCGAATTCGGGAGGGGGGAATGCAGGAGGGGCGAATGCAGGAGGGGCGAATGCAGGAGGAAGGACACTGCTTTTGAGGCAGAACTGCCTTCATGCATTTGACTGATTGACCAACACGCATAAGCTCTGCGAGAGCAGAGCTCCCTTGAAATCATCTCTTTCCCCATCCTCCCCCTCCTTATTTTAAAGGCAGAGCAGTGCATGCAAGCGAATCACCACTCTTCACCACATCTCACCACTTTTCACCATGTCTCACCATGGCCACAAAATCTGTGAGAGCAGGCGAGTAGACAGCACCACCTGCAGGGATGGTTGGGGGACACCCAAGGTGAGGAAGAGAACAGAATCCCCAGGTGGATAGGTAGAATACATGGCACAGTGAAGCACAGCGATGCACAACGAGCAAGGTATGGCAAGTACAGCGAAGTACAGCAACGCAGCACAGCCCAAGGGATGGAAGCCCATCCCATCCCATCCCATCCCATCCCATCCCATCCCATCCCATCCCATCCCATCCCATCCCATCCCATCCCATCCCATCACATCCCATCACATACCCTCCCATCACATCACCTCCCATCCAATCCCATACCATACCATCCCATCACATACCCTCCCATCACATCACCTCCCATCCCATCCCATCCCATCCCATCACATACCCTCCCATCACATCACCTCCCATCCCATCCCATCCCATCCCATCCCATCCCATCCCATCCCATCCCATCCCATCCCATCCCATCCCATCCCATCCCATCCCATCCCATCCCATCCCATCAACTCTTCACAACGAAGTCCACGATCCCAGCCTCAAGCCCACATCACCTGCACTGGGTCTATCAACGAGGCGCGTCTAAATGAGAACCCCATGCGTGCCCCACCCTCCAATCACCTGCATGTTGCGCCCCAACCCTGATAACTGGTGCCTTGAACCCCAGCCCCCAGCCCCTAGCCCCCAGCCCCTAGCCCCCAGCCCGCACCCCCCAGCCCCCAGGCAGCATTCCCCTCACCTGCGCAGGGCCCCATGATGAGGGAGAGCTGCGGAATAACTCCCGATGCCAGCACGTTCAGCTGCCAGGGTGCCGGCAGATAGAGGGACAGACCGGGGGGGGGGGGGGGGGGGGGGGGGGGGGGGGGGTTGGGTGGAGGGGAGGGGGAAGGGGAGGGAAGAGAGGAAGGAGGAGAGGAAAGAGTAAATAAGACTCGATACAAATGGGCCCTCCATTCCCCTATAGATTCCCTCCATCCCCCTCCTACACAAAGCAAAGGGAGCAACTTTGAGTGGACTCAAAACTCACCTGGAAGACGTTGGCATAGCCGGCGAGCGACACAACGCCCTCCTGAATGCGAGCTCCCCCCGAGTCGTTGATGCCTATGACCTGTGACTCGTTGATGCATGGCATGAAGGGTATGGTGTGAGGCAGGGAGAGAGTGTGAGGGTGGGGGCATATGGAACGACAGTAAGCAACGAAGGTGGAAATTGGAGGGAGTTGCGCAACGAAGGTTTCAGTCGGTCTAAACAGAGGTTTCAGTCGGTCTAAACAGAGGTTTCAGTCGGTCTAAACAGAGGTTTCAGTCAGTCTAAACAGAGGTTTCAGTCGGTCTAAACAGAGGTTTCAGTCGGTCTAAACAGAGGTTTCAGTCGGTCTAAACAGAGGTTTCAGTCGGTCTAAACAGAGGTTTCAGTCGGTCTAAACAGAGGATTTAAACTTGCTCAGTAAGACTGGGGATGGATAGAACAGGGTGGGTTGTGAATTAAGAACGAGGAATCAGGGGGAAAGGTGTGTGTGGCGTGGACGGGATGTGGGTTGCGGAAGGGAAGGGAAAGTAGAGAGGGGTGTACAGGAGCTCCCATAAGCACAAGCACGGAGGGGTCCGTGGTCTATTGAAATGAAGAAGGGATGGTGGCGAAGGGCAGGGCAACGGCAGGGAAGGAAGAGGGGAGACGTACAGGTGCTCCCACTAGCATTGCCTTCTCCATGATCTGCGAGGGGAGAGGGGGAGAACGCGGAGGAGGGAGGAGGGCACACGGAAGGCGGAGATCAGGTAAGGGGAGAGGGGGGATGGGGAGAGCGGGGAAGGGGAGAGCAGGAGAGGGGAGAGAGAGAAAGGGGAGAGAGAAGGGGGAGGAGAGGGAGATGGATTTCCGAGGTGTTCCACTAATTGTTGCAACAAGCATTGCCTTCAATTGACCTCCCAGTTGACTGATCTGTTGTAATGTTTTTATACAACATGCATGTCCTAGCTAGACTAATATATACGGTTAAGGGTACCTCAACCATTACTTGCGGTTGAAGTCTGGTAGGGTTCCCAACAATCATTGGGCCTCCAAAAGTGCTGGTTCGAACCCACCCAACAAGTATCGGAGCCGCACAAATGTTGGTCCAATCCGACCAAACCAGCAAACCATTGAAGCCTCCAATACCTGTTGACCCTCATCCCATTCCCTCCACCTATGTAAACCCTGGCCCATTCGAGCCCAAATCAATACTAGAATCTCTTCTTTCTACGGGACTGACCTCCCAGTAGACTGAACTGACCTCCCAGTAGACTGAACTGACCTCCCAGTAGACTGAACTGACCTTTGCACTGATTTGACTCAACTGGCGCACCTTCACTATCTTGCTCGCATGGGTCTCTGACAGGCTTCCGCCAAACACGGTGAAGTCTTGGCTGAACACAAACACCAGCCTGCAGTGTGGTGCGGTGCGGTGTGGTGTGGGGCGGTGTGGCATGGGGTCGTGTGGTGGGTGGTGTGGTGTGGTGTGGTGTGGTGTGGTGTGGTGTGTGTGGTGTGTGGTGTGGTGTGGTGAGGTGTGGTGTGGTGTGGTGTGGTGTGGCGTGGGAGGATAAGAGAGGTAGGAGTGAGCATGTGAAATGCACTAACACACGAGGCACAGCACTGTGGGGTCCTGGCTGAACATGAAAACGAGCCTGTAGTGTGGTAGGTGTGGTGTAGTGTGGGGAGGATAGGAGAGGAGAGATAGGGGTGGGAAGCACGTGAGTGAGAATAATGTAGATGAAACCCGTTAGCATGAGGCACGGCTCTGTGGGGTGTTGGCTGAACCCACACTCTAGGCAGTAGTGTAGTGTGGTTGCCGTGTGAATGAGGAGGAGAGTAGGAGAAGCAAGTGCGCGGGAATCAACCAAGTAAGCCCACCACCAATCCTACCTACCATGAGCACAACAGACAGCCCTATGAAGTAAAGGGAGCAACAGTAGGAGTGAATGGAGCAGAGAAGAGAAAACGAGTGGAGCGGGAAAGGGTAGCACACCAACGGTCACACGCCTTTAGCCACTCGCCGCGACTCAAAACTGAACGTTTTAACCAGCCTTGAACTGATGGTTCACACTAGAGCACTTACCTCCCATTGATGGTGCCGCTGCCAGTCACAACGCCTGGCAGCATGTGGGGGGAGGAATAGCGGAAGGGAGGGGATTGTGAGCGAACCGGAAAAAGAGTGGCGGAACGTCGCTCAGCCTTTGCTGATGGTGCTGTTGCCACTCACGACACGCGGCAGGACATGGCAACACGTGGCCGAACGGGTTGCGTGAGTGTACAAGAGACAAGGGAGAAAGGAAGCAAGAGAGGGTGCGCTGACGAATGGTGCGCTTGTGGCATGCGAGGGTTAAAAGATACACAGGAGGGGCTGAGGTGGGGAGGGAGGGTGGGAGGGAGGCAGGGAGGGAGGGAGGCAGGGAGGGAGGGAGGCAGGGAGGGAGGGAGGCAGGGAGGGAGGGAGGCAGGGAGGGAGGGAGACAGGGAGGGAGGGAGGAAGGGAGGGAGGGAGGGAGGGAGGGAGGGAGGGAGGGAGGGAGGGAGGGAGGGAGGGAGGGAGGGAGGGAGGGAGGTACGGTTCATCTACCACAACAACTCTCTCTAATCAGTGACATCTCTCCCTGCCAGTGTTTTATCTCTCACCACCCGCGTTTCATCTCTCACCGCCCATGTGTCATCTCTCACCATCGCCTGCAATCTGTGTCTCATCCATGCCAAAGTCCCGACAGCGATGCTGCACCAACATGTCTGCGGCACCACGCAGCACAGCACACCACAGCACAGCACACAGGGACGGGGGGAGAGGTGCAGTGCAGCACAGCACACGGGGAGAGGGGGGAAAAGCAAACACCGGGGGGGCAGAGGGTGAAGCAGAGCACATGAAGGAGAAAGTTCAAGACAGAGCACACGGGGAGAAAGTTCAAGACAGAGCACACGGGGAGAAAGTGAGTCGAAGAGGTGAGAGAGTGAGGGTGGGGAGAGGGGAGAAAGTTGAGGAGATGAAAGAGAGAGTGGTGAGAGTGAGTGAGAGTTGTTTGCACTCAGTTTGCACTCAGCTTGCACTCAGTTTGCACTCAGCTTGCACTCAGTTTGCACTCAGCTTGCACTCAGTTTGCACTCAGCTTGCACTCAGCTTGCAGTCTTTGTTCGTTCCCTGATCGCCCTGCCCCTGTTGCTTCTTCTCCATCCCAGCCTATCCAGCACGCACTTAAAACCTGCCTCTGCACTCACCGACCTCTCCAAACGGCCTGAATTGAACAATGTCATACCTCGCTCCCTGCTGTCATCTTGCTCTGCTCCCCCTGGTACCCCTGCCAGTGCTGTTCGTGCTGCTTCCCCTGCTCTGCGTGTGCTCTCGTGCTGCCTGCCATTATCCGTTCCCTGGCTGCCAGCTTGACCTGCCACTGTTATTTGCGCTGTTTCCCTGCAGAGTTCGTGCTGTGTGTCTTGCATCTTCTTGTCTCTCCACTCACCAATCTCTTCGAACAACCCTGGCTGTCAGCTTGCACTGCTTGTCATGCCAATTGCCCTGCCAGTGCTGCTCATGCTGCTTCGGCTGCTTCCCTGATCTGCTCGTGTTGCTATTCCTGCTCCTGCTGACTGTGCAAGCTATTCACGCACCGACCTCTTCAGTCAACCCTGGGACCAGCACAGTCATCACTCGCTCTCTCGCTGCCACCTTGCCTTGCCCTGCCACTGATGCTTGCACTGCACTGCCGCGCCACTCACCGAGTTCTTCAAACGACCCAGGGTCCAGCAGAGTCATGATGCGCTCTCTGGCGGTCAGCTTGCCCTGCTTGTGCTGCTTGCGTATCCGCTCAAACCCCCCGCCCTTGAGCGCCTCTGCCTGTAGCCGCTCCAGCTCTATCACTGACGGCTGGAGAGGTAAGCGGGGTGAGAGGGGAGAGCAGCGGGAAGCGAAGAGGGTAAGTAGGAGTATGTTTGGCCTGCCCTGCCTGTGCTAACTCTTTTTCCGCTCGAACCCTCCACCCTCCAGAGCCTCTGTCTGTAGCCGCTCCAGCTCAATCACTGAAGGCTGGAGGGGTGGGTGAGGAGGGGACGATACGGGACGCCGGAAGGTTTAAGGGTACGTAGATGTAACGCCTGTGGACTGTTTCAAAGCCATTCTGCTGCGCCTAAATAGCACCCTCGTTTTGACCCAGTTGGTAGCGAGGTGTTATAGTAGAGGTAGGAGGGCCCAACTTGCCCTGCTTGTGCTGCTTCTTTAACCGCTCGAATTCACTGTCCTTCAGCGCCTCCGCCTGTAGCCGCTCCAGCTCAATCACTGGAGAGGTAGGCGCGGTGAGAGTGGAAGATAGGGGAAAGGGTACGTAGAGGTAGGCAGGCCCGACTTGCCCTGCTTGTGCTGCCTCTTCATCCGCTTTATCCGCGCAATACACTGCAGGTGGGGGCAAAAGGGGTTGGAGGAAGAGCGGCGGAAGGGGACGGGGGTGGTGAGGAATGAGGTGAGATTCACGGTTCCCTGCACACGCTGCTCGTGCTGCTTTCGTGCTTCCCTATCCGCTCGAAGCCCCCATCTCAGCACGCCGCTCTATTTGGGGTGGGAAGTTCCTGCTTCCGAATCCCTGACGGAAGGGGTGGGTAGGGTCGGGAAGCGAAGGGAAGGGAAGGGAAGCAACGGGAATTGAAGGGAAGGGAACGGAAGCAACGGGAAGGGAAAGGACCACATATCTGTTGATACACCTCCTACCTGTTGTAAGGCATGTCACCTGTTTAAAAACGTGTGCAGCGGGAGCAGAAGGCGACGAGTCTATTCCTTCCGTCAGCTGCGGCCCGCATGCCACGCCGCTGGGCGACCCCGCCCCGGCGACTCCTGCTAGCGTCGACGACGACGCAACAGCACCCGCTGCTGCGAACGGCAAGAGCGGCGGCATCCCCGCTATAGGACGCAGCGCTGCTGCTCCGCTACAGGCATGAGGCGCGGCGAAGGGAGTGGTGTTTATAGCGGAGGGAGTGGAAATGGGTGGTGAGAGGCGAGAGGCGAGGGAAACGGGGCGGGATTTAGAGGCTCCGCGACGAGCGGAGCCCGTGAGAACACGCGCGAGCACCATGCCGATTGGCTATTGCCTGTAGTGAAGCTGCGGGAGATAATAACTAAAGGCTCACTGCAGGGGGGTGTTATGACATTGCAAATCGAGGGAATCAGTTGCATTTGACTGTTAAGCAGTTCTGATTGACTCTCGACTTCCTGACTGGGTGTATTACCCGCTGACTCACAACCCAGCTGCGTGACGCAGCTTTGTGGGGACCACCTGACTCGGCCAGCTTGCTAAATCAAAATAGGCTGACGCAGCACCAGCTCAGCCCGGTAACCTGTCGAGGATCCTCGCCCGCGAATTCGCCAACGCTTCTCTGCGTCCCCGAACAACGAATAAGTTACAACTAGATATTATGCTTACACATAATTCCGTGGACTGTATCACTATATATCTTGCTACGGATGAGTCACGACGAGCAGCAGTGTAAAGCTTTGTTACTGTAGAGTAGATCAATCAACACCACATCACACTAGACTGCAGATCACACTGCTTCAGCAACCCTAAACCCTTAAGAACCCACCAAACCAACCTTCTTCCACCCCTCCCCCACCCCCGCCCGCACCCATGGAAAGGCAAAACACAACCTTATACATAAACCACTCCACACATGCATCATTTCTATTCAATCATGATTGAATGCATCTATCTAGCACCACGTTCCCGCCATCACAACCTGAGCCTGCAGGCCGCGCTGCCTGAGCATGCCAGCGAGCGTGTTAAACACGGTCTGGCCAATCTTCTTGATCACCGCCGTCACAAAAGTGTTGAGCGACCGCACATCCTTCACCCCGCTCACCCCCACGCCCAGTGCAGAGTTGTAAAACTGAACGGCCGAGTCAGTGGGCGCGGCCTTGCACTTGATCCAGTCGAGCAGGTACGTCTTGACGCAACTGGGGTTCCTGCGGTTGTTGGCCGCCATGAGCACGTAGCTCTGGAAGGAGGTGGTGGAGCCGGGCGTGCCAGGGCCCCACACGGCCAGCACGCTGCTGCGCACGTCGCTGGAGGACTGCACGCTGTTCCACAGCGACTGCGAGCTGCAGTCGTCCTTGATCCACCACGCGTACCACCTGCAGTGGGAGAAAGGGGAAAATCGGGGGGAGGGGAGGGGAGGGGTGGGGGCGGGGGCAGGGAGAGGAAGCGAGGGGGACGTGAAGGTGGCCTCCTTGACGCTGTTCCACAGAGACTGCGAGCTGCAGTTGTCCTTGATCCACCACGCAGGCAGGAGGGTGAGAAGCAGCACGCACAACACTCAGTTGTGCAGTTGCATTGCAATCGACCAGCCAAATGACCAGCATATCTGGGTGGATTATTTCAAATCTGAATCGGGAGCCTCACCTGCTGGCGTAGCAGGGAGGGGCCACCGTCTCGCAGTCGGCGCACGAGCACGTCTGCGCGAGGATCGCGGAGGCCTGAAGCGCGACGACGACGGCGAAGAGGAGCTTCGCAGGAGCCATTGCGGAGAGCAGCGCGGGACGTTTGGCAAACTGAGAAATTAGGGTAACCGGAGATAGTATGGCTAAGGACTGCTAGAGCCTAGATTTGCAGCGGGTGAGAGCAGCTGGAGGTAGCAGGACGAGTAGTAGTAGGGCGAATAGCTTGCGATGGTTGGATCTAACTTTGGCTTGGTTCTTATACCCGGATTACTAGGCGTGCTACGCCTGGCTGCCATCGGAAAGCGGTCGGATCGGTACATGCGGGACACGATCATGTTACGATCCTGCCTTAGCTCGCCTCGTAGACTCGGATGACCCATCCTACTATGCCTCGCTGTGCGGAATGGTAACACGATGTGCTGTGCTGTAAATGATAGTTGCTACGTTGTCTTGCTAGCAGCGAGTTTCACAGCGGGGTGACCCCGTAAGGCGTGAACTACCGATTCTTCGCTGGCGGTTCTCACCGGGTTGACTCGGCGAGGAGGACAGCAGAGCAGCGGCGTGTGACTCAGTTCGGCGAGGAAAGGTTTGTTAGATACTAGTAAGAGACCGACGGAAGTGCGGGAAAGAAGAGGATAGGAGACGAGAAGAGACGAGAATAGAGAGAGGCGAAGAGAGTGGAAGCTAGGAGCGACAGCCTGTCGGCAGGAGGGGGAGGAGACAGGACAGGACTCCACTTGCTCCGACAGGGCCCAACGGTTAGTTGCTGGTTTAGATAATCTCCTCGAGTAGTGCGCTAACGAACGAGGGTCAAACGAGTAAACAGGAATCTAGGCGGCTGACTCTGCCCGCGAAATGTGGCACCGCTTTATGCGCTGGCACAGTACGTTGAATGTACCACTGCCTGAAGATTGAATGGTTCGCGACAAGGTTCTTTCATACAGCACACGAAGAAATTGGAAGGAAAATTCTAAACAGGTAAAATTAATCAGATAAAATTAAAGGGTTCTATAATTTAAAAAAAATAGTGAACTCACAAGAATAGGCATTGCACTCGTTTGCCACTAACCATACCATTGGGGCGATACTGTACTGAGCCCCTCCTTATAGAAGCGCAGGTGCGGTTGCTGTGATTCATCAGGGAAAAATAAGGGGTGCGTCGTTAACAATAAATATTCTTATACGTGTAAATGCATGGGATGGGACAATATAATGTCATGTAAGGATTTTTATTGAAATACAGCAGATTGTAGATTTTGTCGCTAACTGCTTTGCAGACTTGAAGAAGAATCTCGTTTTACTCGGAATGTTGTTAAACCCTCTCAAGCTTCTTTTAGGGTTTCCCTGAGTACTGCTACTTTGATGCTGCTGAGCGTGAGGCATGTGGGCATTGCAGCAGAGAGGTCACTGGTCAACCATAGAGGAGGTAGAAGAAGACGAAGAGGTAGACGGCCATGGTGAAGACGGCTGATATGTGCTGGAAGAATAGCACCGCTGATACCTCCTGCTCTCCAAACCCCCTCAAGCTGCACGCTGTGCCTGCATGCCATGGGCACACGTAAAAAGGTGTTCAAATGTAAGCTAGATGTGAATGCTGCACGGCGACGCAATCATGACATGAGCACCCATGTTCAGCATGCATGGGCGCCTGCGCCCTCCGCACAAACCCATCCCCTCGCACCTATCTGAATGGACGAGGGCATGCATGCTGCAGCAGCACACCAGTCACATGAACACCAATGGTTCAGCATGCATGGCGTCATGCACCCCTGGCACCCGGCACACCCATCCTCTCGCACCCATCCTCTCGCACCCATCCTCTCGCACCCATCCTCTCGCACCCATCCTTTCGCACCCATCCTCTCGCACCCATCCTCTCGCACCCATCCTTTCGCACCCATCCTCTCGCACCTATATGAATAGAGGAGGGCATGGCATGCTGCAGCAGCAGCACGAATCGAAACATCTTGTCGCCCGGTGGCAGCAGCCCCAGGCGGTCGGCGCAGAGCTGCTTGTGCGCGCACACACCTTGGCACACCTTGGCACACCTTGGTACACACTTTCTCACCTATTTGGATGGACGAGGGCATGGCGTGCTGCAGCAGCAGCACGAAGCGGAACATCTTGTCGCCGGGCGGCAGCAGCCCCACGCGGTCGGCGCAGAGCACAATGGCGATGCCCAGCAGCGGCACCACCACCAGCCGCGTCACCACCACCGCTAGTGTTGTGCGCATTGGCAGCGCAGACGCCCCTGGGCCTGTGGGAAGGGCATGGGTGGTGGAGGGATGTATGCGAGGCCCCCAAGGGAGTGGGGGAAAGGGGGAGGAGGTGGGGCACGGATGAAGGGGGAGGGAGGGGTGGGTGCATGCATGAGGGGGACGGGGAGGGGGATGCATCAATGCAGCCCAGGCGGTCGGCGCAGAGCACGATGGCGATGCCCAGCAGCAGCCGCGTCACCACCACCGCAGCATTGTTCGCATTGGCAGCGCAGATGCTCCAGGGCCTGCAGGCATGCATGAGGGGGAGGGGAGGGCGCGCATGAGGGGGAGGGGAGGGCGCGCATGAGGGGGAGGGTAGGGCGCGCATGAGGGGGAGGGGAGGGCACGCATGAGGGGGAGGGGAGGGCGCGCATGAGAGGGGAGGGCACGCATGAGGGGGAGGGGTGGGCACGCATGAGGGGGAGGGGAGGGCGCGCATGAGGGGGAGGGGAGAGCGCGCGAGGGGGAGGGGAGGGCGCGCATGAGGGGGAGGGGAGGGCGCGCATGAGGGGGAGGGGAGGGCACGCATGAGGGGGAGGGGAGGGCACGCATGAGGGGGAGGGGAGGGCGCGCATGAGAGGGGAGGGCACGCATGAGGGGGAGGGGAGGGCACGCATGAGGGGGAGGGGAGGGCGCGCATGAGGGGGAGGGGAGGGTGCGCATGAGGGGGAGGGGAGGGCACGCATGAGGGGAGGGAGGGCGCATGAGGGGAGGGAGGCGCGCATGAGGGGGAGGGGAGGGCGCGCATGAGGGGGAGGGGAGGGCGCGCATGAGGGGGAGGGGAGGGCACGCATGCAGCGGAAATGAGGGGAGAGGTGGGTAGGTGGGGAAAGAATGCATGAGGCGAAGGGGGCATGCAAGAGGGAGAGGAGAGGGCGATGCCGAGCAGTGGCACCACCAGCAGCCGCGTCACCACCACTGCCAGTGTTGTTCGCGTCGACAGTGCGGACGCTCCGGGACCTGTGGGCAGGGCGTGGGTGTATTTGAATTTGACAAAAAAGATACACAGACAGAGGAGAGGAGAGGAGAGGGCCATGCTGAGCAGCTTTTGAGTCGACTCAAAAGTCACCTCAATTTGACAAAAAAGATACACAGACAGAGGAGAGGGCCATGCTGAGCAGACAGAGGAGAGGGCCATGCTGAGCAGACAGAGGAGAGGGCAATGCTGAGCAGACAGAGGAGAGGGCAATGCTGAGCAGACAGAGGAGAGGGCAATGCTGAGCAGACAGAGGAGAGGCAATGCTGAGCAGACAGAGGAGAGGGCAATGCTGAGCAGACAGAGGAGAGGGCAATGCTGAGCAGACAGAGGAGAGGGCAATGCTGAGCAGACAGAGGAGAGGGCAATGCTGAGCAGACAGAGGAGAGGGCAATGCTGAGCAGACAGAGGAGAGGGCAATGCTGAGCAGACAGAGGAGAGGGCAATGCTGAGCAGACAGAGGAGAGGGCAATGCTGAGCAGACAGAGGAGAGGGCAATGCTGAGCAGACAGAGGAGAGGGCAATGCTGAGCAGACAGAGGAGAGGGCAATGCTGAGCAGACAGAGGAGAGGGCAATGCTGAGCAGACAGAGGAGAGGGCAATGCTGAGCAGACAGAGGAGAGGGCAATGCTGAGCAGACAGAGGAGAGGGCAATGCTGAGCAGACAGAGGAGAGGGCAATGCTGAGCAGACAGAGGAGAGGGCAATGCTGAGCAGACAGAGGAGAGGGCAATGCTGAGCAGACAGAGGAGAGGGCAATGCTGAGCAGACAGAGGAGAGGGCAATGCTGAGCAGACAGAGGAGAGGGCAATGCTGAGCAGACAGAGGAGAGGGCAAATGCTGAGCAGACAGAGGAGAGGGCAATGCTGAGCAGACAGAGGAGAGGGCAATGCTGAGCAGACAGAGGAGAGGGCAATGCTGAGCAGACAGAGGAGAGGGCAATGCTGAGCAGACAGGAGAGGTGCAATGCTGAGCAGCAGCCGCGTCACCACCACTGCTAGTGTCACGCGTATCGGCAGCGCTGAAGCCCTGGGACGTGTGGGCAGGGCGTGGGTGGTGGGGGGATGTCTCCGGGACCCCGAAGGGAGTGGGAGAAGAAGTGGGGCATAAATGAAGGGGGGAGGAGGGGAGGGTGCATGCATCAGGCAAACGGGGAGGGGATGCATCAATGCAGCACAGTGAGAGCCATGAGAGGCGGAGGCGCTACAATGGTTGGAAGCAGAGGCGCTACTTGCAGGTGACATGGCAGGGAGAAGACTTTTGAGTCGACTCAAAAGGTGACATGGCAGGGAGAAGACTTTTGAGTCGACTCAAAAGGTGACATGGCAGGGAGAAGACTTCTGAGTCGACTCAAAAGGTGACATGGCAGGGAGAAGACTTGAGGTTTATGAAAATGGTCGGAGGCTTGGACACAATGTGCGTGGCACGATAGCTGGGGAGCTTTAAAGCCTTGTGTGGGCGATGGTGGCGGGTGGGTGACGCGTGGCAAGAGAGGGTTGCACAGAAGATGCGATATCTGTTGCGAATGCATCTGCCAGACCCATGAAAATACTGCATCACATGCTAGACAGCTGAGAGCAATGGTACTGGCGCTGCTGGCCAAGCCAATAGGGGCACTCTGACCCAACGATGACTTGTCCACTAGAAATTCCAACTTTTCCCAGCAGATTGAAACTCCGGCACAGCGGCTCAGCACAGCTAATCGACACCGCACGACTGCACTGACCCTTGACGAGGTTGGCGCCGAGAACCAGCAGAATGCAGGGAATCATGGCCTGGCTGTGGGTGAAGCGCGACACACACACACACACACACACACACACACACGCACACACCCACACACACACA